TCAGGCCTGCTCCCCACCACGGGCTCTGCACACCTTCATGGTGCCATTCGTTGTTTCCAGGGCAAGGACGAGGCTGTGGGTGCAGCTCTACCTGTTTATTGAGGAGTGGTGACTGTGCTGCCTGCCAGCCCTGCCAGCTCCTGGGCGTGCCTGGTCCTGCCGGCATCGAGCCACTCTCGGAGGTTGCTCCTCCATCTTCTGCCCTACGGTGCCCGGCCGCACACCGTGTGCCCCCATCCCAGCCAGGCAGCCCTCTGTGTGGGCCGTGGTTGGGCCGTCCTGCAGCCCAGCACGGTGGCAGCAGCACTGTAGGGCTGAGACCCCACTGCAGCCCGTCCCCATCATGCTGCCCCCACTGGCTGCTGGCACATGACATGGGGATGTTGGGGGGAGGGAGGCAGGGGCGAGGCTGGCACCGTCCCACAGGCTCGGCGGGTCCTGGCAGGGAACAGCTGTGCACGAGACGTCGGTGTCAAAGCATCCCCCTGGTGCCACCTTTGTCCCCAGGTGTGGTTGGTGGGGTCAGGCCAGACCCCACAGTTCCAGGTCCTGGACGCAGAACTCCTCCCGGGACGAGAGGGTCTCGTTGTGGAAGGTCTCGCAGCGGCAGCTGCCCCCGCGGTGCAGGTCCCCGTCCAGCCACAGCCCAAACCTGCCGCTGGGAATGTGCCAACGGCACGGTTGGCTGAGTCCCCACTCCTGCCTCCTCCATGCCTGGAGACGTCCCAGGCCACCTCCTGGGGGATCAGCCACCTCCTGTCCCCATCCACTGTCCCCCAAAATGGGCATGAGACAGGACAAGCAGCCGCACCAGGAATGCCATCGTGCCCGCAGGCAGGGAGTGGGCAGGGAGCAAAGCCAGGCAATGAGATGGCCAGTGCTGCTGGGCAATCTGTGCCAGCGTTTTGGGGTTCAAACCACCACCACGTGCCTGCACTCAGCTCCACAGGGCTCTTGTGGCCATCAGGGCTGGTGGCCCTGTGGGTGGCTGAAGTTACCAGTGCAACTCCTACCTGCCCCCGCCGACCATCAGCAGGTCCACATCCCCTTTCACGAAGAAGTCGTTCCTGCCTGTCCACCTGAACACCTGCATGGGGACAGCAGTCAGTGGGGATCGTGGGCTGGGGCACAGTGTCCCCATTTCTGTCCCTGTCCCGTGAGGAACAGCTGGGGGTTGCTGAGCCAAGCTGGCTCTGCCCAGCGTGGCCGTGTCCCACTGCAGAGGAAGACCTGGCCGAGCCTATCGGCACTGTCCTGCTGCTGGTCCGTCCCTCCCAGCAGCCCCGGGGGCCCCATCAGGGGACAACTGCCACCACTGATGCCCCATCACACACATAGAGTCCCACCAGAGCAGGCAGATGTGGCTGAGCTGCCTCCACATCCTGCCAACTCAGCGCTGGGCTGTGACTGTCCTGCTATGCAGAGGGTCCCTGGCGGCCCCCAGCTGGGCAGAGCCCCTTTCCCTGAGCCCCCCCTGCTCACTGCCTGGGATTTGCCTTCTCCCCCCAGCCCCGGAAAAACTGAGGGGACCAAGCACAGCCATGCCACCCCACAGACCCCTCCCCAGCACCGTCGTGCCCCCCAGGCGTGGCTGAGTCCCAGGGGCATCGCCAACCCCCCCCCCCCTCCCCGGGGTGGCCTACAGCTGGTGGCCCACAGGTTCCACCTTCAGCTCCGGGGAGAAGGAGAAGAGGAAGGTCTCCCCTGACCCGTAGAAGCCACTGCTGCAGCGAATGGCGCTGGAGGAGAAGGCACCGAAGGCCTGGGGAGAGCAGAAGGGGAGGCTCATGGCACAGTGCTCGGTGGGGCTCCCCAGTGCCAGGACGTGTCCCCCATCCTGCCTCCAGCAGCGAGGATGTGGCCAGGTCCCGGATGCCGCCAGGTTTGCTGCCCCCAGTGCCGTGGGGCAGCTGGGAGGGGAGGGCCCGGCTGTACCTGCGCCTCCGTGTCCCTGATGAGCAGCAGGGCCGGGGACCCCGGCTGGCCCCCGCGCCGGTACAGCGTCCGCAGGCTGAAGCCATCCCGCCTGGTGGAATACTGCAGGCACCAGGGCTGCTGTGTCAGCCGGGAGGGCAGGTGGGGGCCCAGCTGAGGCAGAGTGGGCTCATTCGGGGCTGACGGGCTGCTGCTGAGCATCCTCCCCCTGCCCCGAGTATCCTCTTGAGAGAGCTCATCAAGCATCCAAACATCCTGCAAGGGGTGTCCCCAAGCATCCTCCTCCTAAACGTGCTCCCAAAGGGTCTCCTCAAGCTCCCAAACTACCCAGCAGGCTCCTAGCATGTTTCCCCAAGCATCCTCACCCTGAAAACCCTTCTGAAATGGCTCCCCAGGCATCCTTCTCCCCACCCCAAGAGGTGATGTTGAGGTGCTGTTAAGATGACTGTTCCCAAAGGACAGGGGGATTATCACCCATCTGGCCTCACACTGGAGCAGTTCCTGGCAGGACAGTGGCCATGGCTGCGTGACACAGGGGAGATGAATGTGACGGTGGGTGCCCATGCTGGCAAGCGTCCCTCACCTCATGGATCTCCCTGTCCTGCAGGATGCTGCTCGGTGTGCTCAGCACCAGCCTGCATGGCTCCTCCAGGGCTGGGGCTGCTGCTGGGGCTCCCTCCCAGCCCAGCTGCCCCTCTCTGGCTGGCTCCTCACATCCCACAGGCAGCTCCTCATCCTGGTCGGGCTGAGGGCAGGTGGAGATGAATGTCACTGTGGGCCCAAGGGAGCAGCATCTCCCTACCCTGCACTGCTTGGGGTGTCTCCCATCCTCTGTCCAGGGGCTGGGCAAAGGGGTCCAGAGTCCACTAGGCTGAACCTCCTGTCCCTGGCAGCCTCTGCTCCCCACAGCAGTCTGCCAGGCTGTGCCACTGCTGCACACGGAAGTTCAAGGGCGTGTGGCCACCCGAGGAGGAAAGAGGAAGGGAAGGCAGGGGAGGCTTCAACAACTTCAGTCCCACTTCAACTCCAGTAGAAGGGGCAAAGCATGACCTTTTCCCTCCTTGCCCACTGCTAGGCTGACCCTAAGGTGTGGATGGGTTCAGGGATGTGCCTTGGTCTTGGTGGCAGCTGGTGACAAGTGTCTCTCCCAGCCACATGCTCAGTTTGACTGTGGGTGCAGTCCGTGCCCAAGGGTGAGTGGGTAGCAATTCCCTGCTGGTCGCCCTGAGGGGACAAGAGGGATGAGCAAGGGCAACACTGGGTGGCAGAGGATCTCCTGCCCCCAGGGTGCCTGGATCCTAGGGGGGCAGAGTGGCTACAGGTGCAGGTCCCATGTGTGCCCATCACCCACTGCACCTCCCCAGGGCAGCCCCTGTCCTTCTGTCCAGCCATGTGTCCAGCCTAGCTGGTGCTTCCCAGCACTGCCCCCAGCTCATTGCCAGCTCCTACATTGCCGTGTGGGACCCCATCATGATGGACTTACCAGGAGGTGGTAGCGGACTTGGAGCCCCCTCATTGCAGGTGCTGCCAGGGCGCTGGAGCTGCTCTGCTGAGGAGCCCCAGACACTGCCCTGGGGTTAATGTTCACCGCGCCGGCCCCTCCCTGGCCACCTGTGCGTGACACAGATGGGTGCGGATCCCAGCAGCCTGTCCTGGCTCATGGGGGTCCAGGAGCTGACCCCTGCAGAGTCAGGTCCTGTGTGGTGCTGTGGGATAGGTGGGCAGGCGTCCCCCTCCAGCCAAGTGCTCGGTGGCTGGTGGCCATCACCTCCTTTGTGCCCCCACTGTCACCTGGAGCCAAGCAGGGAGCCCCGAGGCCACACGGGAGCCCTTGTTTTGGCATCAACAGGAAGGTGGTGCATGTGTTGCTCTTTGCAACACGACTGTTGCAATGGTTGTAGCAACTGCCAACACCTGCTTGGAGGCCATGGTGGCACAAGGAGATCCAGTCTGTGCTGACATCCTATGGAGCCAGAGCCCCAGGGAGAGCCAGGACTCAGCAGGTGAGGGAGGGAACCCCTGGCTGAGGCACCCTCCTACCTCAGGTGCCGCTGAAGAAGCTCCTGCAGACCAGGGAGGAGGTGCAGTGCCCCGGTGCAGTCCCTTCCCACTGATGCCACCCCCCAGAACAGTCAATACAGCTGTGAGCCTGTGGGTACAACCAAAACAGTACTCCAGTGAAGGATTTTCTGTGTGCCCCTCATGGTGGCATGATGACTGCAGTGCCAGGCCCAGGCCCTGGGCCCACTGCAGGCAATTTGGGGTTGCTCCTCATCTCCACGGCAGGGCCCATTGCACTCCTGTCAGTCCTGGGTGTCAGCTCTGTTGTTCCCATCAGGCTTTGACGGCAGCCTTGCCTTTTACCCTGCTCCTGCCACATCCCTCTGCCCCTGTCCCCATGTCTCCAAACCCCTTGACCACTGCCCTGCCCATTCCCGCTCCTGCCCTTTCCTTTTCCCTATCCTTGACCATGCTCCTGGCCTATTGCCCTTCCCCTGTCTATTCCCCTGCTCTGTCCCTGCTCATGCCAATGTCATGCCTCTGCCCCTTGCTCCTCCCCTGCCCCAGAACTCACCCCATCACCTTCCTCAGGAGCACTTGAGTCCAGCTTTGGGGCTTGCTCCCCGGGGAGACCCAGATAGACCCACCCCAGGGGGCTGGTGGGACCAGGAATGGGGCTGCAGAGGATGGAGATGCTGCCTGCAGGCCTTGGGTCAGTCCTGCTGCCTCCCAGCATTGGCTCCCTCCTGATGGTGAATTATTTTTGGCTTTGTGGGAAGAGGGGGCTGTAAAATAGGCACCCTCCCATAGCTCCAGCTAAGTCACTCTCTCCTTTTCTCTTACACTGCTGTTAGGTCACCTGTATATATCTGGCCTTCCCTAAAGCTGGCAGGGTTTCAGCCTGGCCTAGAGACCTCTGTGTGCTTTTTGGTCACTTGTTTTCCCTCCCAAGTCCTGTATTTGCTTTCAAGTCCCCTCCTGACCCCTCCACGTACCTCTCAGTGCCTCCCAGAGCCCCCACCCACTCTCTAGCTCCCCCCTATAACCACAGAGCACACAAGGTGTTCAAAACTTGCACAGTTTATTATGCTCCTTGCCATGCCCTGCCGGCAGCTCAGCAGCCCAGGCTCCCTTTGCCCCTCCCTGTGCCCTCAGGCCGCTGCTGGGGCTGCCCTGCCTGGGGCTGAGCTCGGGGCTTGAGCTGAGCTTGGGGGCTGAGCTGGGCTTGGCTCCACCCCCCCTAAGCGCTGACAGCAGTGCAGTAAGGCAAAAGTGTTAATTGTCCAGAAAGAAAGATGTTTACACACCTGCCTGGGCACATCCATCTCAGCTGCTTGGTACCAGCTGTGGTTTCCATGTCACATTCCCAACCCTTCAGATGTCCCTTGGGATCAGTGGGACACTGCAGGTGGCTGTCACACTGCGGTCACATCCTGGTGCCACCATAGCCAGCAGAGCCTGGCGGCTGCACCCCAGAGGGCCACATTCAGGGGTGAGCAGCAGCAGCTCCAAGGTGAGCAGGTCTGAGCACAGAGAGGGGAGCAGGGGGGACCAAGGGAGGTTGATTTCAGGGAGCCTCCACACACAGCCACGAGCCCATGGCAAGGGGGGACAAGAGAAGGGCACATCCACTAGTGTTAAGCAGCTGTGGAACATGAGGAGCCCAACAATAACAGCAGTGACTGAGGCTCCTCCTGCATTTGGTCTGAGGCCTTACAGGGAGATTGTGATCCCCACTGGTCCCTAATCCAGGCTGCTGCCCCGAGCAACCACAGCAGCACAGTGTGAGCCTGGAACTGCCAGGCTTTGTCATCCGACAGAAACTGGGAGCAGTGGGAGTCCATCTCCTCAGTAGTATTTCTTCTGAGACCTGCAGTGCCTCTGTGCATGGTCCTAACATGGCAATGTCTGTGTTGCTCCAATGGGATAGAGCAGTTACCCAGCACCCTCCCCCCGGCTTCTGCTTCCACCCCGACTCCAGTTCTCACTAGTGTTTGAGTGCCAAGGTTACCACCTGTGGTAGCAGCTCCATCTGTCCTCCTTCCAACAGGTCATCATCCTTGGTCACCCATCTGTGATCACAGCACCCACTGTGCCTGAGCACATGGGATTTTTCCAGATCCCACAGCAGTGGGACCACCAAGAAATGGCTTCTGCAGCCAGGGCTCAGGCACCAGGTACCTAGAGATTGCCTCGTGCCAAGCAGAGTTTTACTAGTCAAAGCAGTGAAGGGGAAGGTTCCAGGAGAAGCAAACATCTCCAAGAAGCAGTGATGGAAAAGTAAACAGTTCACAGTCTGAGCTCCTCCTGGACCCTCGTGGGTTTAGCTCAGACACTCCAGTTCCTGCTGGGCTGCCCAGAGCTAATGGCTGAGGTCGCAGTGGAAAGCACAGCTGAGGGGAGGGAGATGCTCCAACGGAGGTACTGCAGCTCTTACAGTCTCTGTGCTGAGCCCACAGCTCAGCAGGACATTCCCAAAACCTCAGCCCTTTCTTTCAGTAGGTATCATCCCCAAAGTCAGACCTCATTCAGGGAACCTTCCCCACCCACCCCACATACCCCAAGCTTTGCATGTTCCTCATAGTAGTCCATGTCCCAGGGAAAGGTGGGCACAATCCTTATTTCAAAACCAGCATGGCCTCTGTCCCATCCTGCCTTGTCAAGTGCAGTCCATGAGTGAGGTAGTATTCACGCCGGAGGAAGGCATAGAAATAATCTGAGATGAGCAGGATCTGTGGAGTGAGATGTTCAAATACATCAGTGGTGCTTCAGACCAAGAATAAAGAGGGACACATGTTGGTGACAGACCCTGTAAGTGGTGTAAGCAGTTCCTAGGCTGTCCAGCAAGCTCCACCAGAGGAGCAACTGCAACCCTGGGAACACCATGTCCACCCCTCACAGTGTTAAGCCAAGGGAGACTCACACTAATTGTTTGCTATTGGTGTGTTCTTACAGACATTTCTGCTAAGGAGACAGCAGCTTCATAAACTGGCCAAAGTATACAACAATGGCAGGTCCAGCTGTGCCACAATTGCACAGGTCATCTCACTGTACCCACAGGACTCCTTCCATACATCCTTCCATGCTGTCAAAGAATCAGTAAGGTTGGAAAAGACCTCTGAGATCATTAAGTCCACCCTATGCCCGACGTCCACCTTGTCCCCCAGCCCAGAGCACTGAGTGCCACGTCCAGTCATTCCTTGGACACCTCCAGGGGCAGGGACTCCACCACCTCCCTGGGCAGCCCCTTCCAATGCCTTAACATCCTTTCCATGAAGCAATTCCTTCTGATGTCCAACCTGAACTCCCCTGACACAACTGCGTCCCCTTGTCCTGACCCTTGTTCCCCAGGAGCAGAGCCTGACCCTGCCCCGGCTTCCCCCTCCTGTCAGGGAGTCATAGGGAGTGATAAGGTCCCCCCTGAGCCTCCTTTTCTCCAGGCTAAACAACCTCAGCTCCCTCAGCCACTCCTGGTGCTCCAGCCCCTTCCCCAGCTCTGTTCCTTTCTCTGGACTTCCATGTCCTTCTGAACTGAGGGGCCCAGAACTGGACACAGCACTCGAGGAACCTCAGCGGTGCCCAGCACAGGGGGACAATCACTGCCCTGCTCCTGTGGCCACACTATGGCTGGTACAGGCCACATGCCCTTGGCCTTCTTGGCCATCTGGGCTCATGTGCAGCTGCTGTCAATCAGCACCTCCAAGTCCTTTCCCAATGGGCACTTTCCAGCCACTCTTCCCCAGCCTGGAGCACTGCAGGGGGTTGTTGTGACCCAAGAGCAGGACCTGGCACTTGGCCTTGTTGACCCCCACACTGCTGGTCTTGGCCCATTGATCCAGCCTGTCCAGATTCCTCTGCAGCCTTCCTGCCCTCCAGCAGATTGACATTCCAACCCAACTGGTGTCATCCACGAATTTACTGAAGTTGCCCTTGATTCCCTCATCCAGATGGTCAATAAAGATATTAAACAGGACTGGACCCAATTCTGAGCCCTGGGGAACACCACTAGTGACTGGATGTTGACTTGATGCAGCACCATTCCCCACCACACTCTGGGCCTGGCCGTAAGCCAGGTCCTAACCCAGCACAGAGTGCCCCTGTCCAAGTCCTAGGTTGCAGCTTCTCCAGGAGAATGCTGTGGGAGACAGTATCAAAAGCTTTGCTAAGTCCAGGCAGACACATCCACAGCCGTTCCCTCATCCACTAGATGGATGACCCGGTCATAAAAGGAGATCAGGTTGGTCAGGCAGGAACTGTCCTTCCTAAACCCGTGCTGGCTGTCTGATCCCTTGGTTGTCCTGTCCGTGCTGTGTGATCACACTTGAGATGATCTGTTCCACAACCTTCCTGGTTGAACTGTTGTGCAGTTCAACCCAAATGCTGAGTCTTCTGCTGCTGCTGGCTATCAAAACTTCTCAATTACGACTGTTTACCATAGAATCCACAGATGGTTTGGGTTGGAAGAGACCTCAAGGATCATGAGCCTGAGACTTGCTCAGCTGGTTAGAGCAGGGTGCTAATAATGCAAAGGCTGAGGTCAAGGTCGATCCCCATATGGGCCATTCACTTAAGAGTTGGACTCGATCATCCTTGTGGGTCCCTTTCAACTCAGAATACTCTGTAACTTCTGTCTGCTGAGCTGTGTTTGGACAATATGAGGACTTAATGCTGTTATTAGCACAAATGCATTCATTAGCACAATGACAGATTCAATTTCTTTCCTCCCCCTGCCACAGGCAGGGACACTTTCCACTAGACCAGGTTGCTCCAAGCTCTGTCCAACCTGGCCTTGGACACTTCCAGGGATGGGGCAGCCACAGCTTCTCTGGGTAACCTGTACCAGGGCCTCACCACCCTCACAGGGAAGAATTTCTTCCAAGTATGCCATCTAACCCTGTCCTTTCGTAGTGAGAAGCCATCCCCCCTTGTCCTGTCCCTCCAGGCCCTTGTCCAAAGTCCCTCTCCAGCACTCTTGGAGCCCCTTTAGGCCCTGAAAGGGCCTCTAAGATCTCCCTGAAGCCTTCTCTTATCCAGGCTGGATAGCTACCATTTCTACTCTGAAAGGGTAGGAAGTGTGCAGGCAGCAGAAGGAATTCCACAGCTCCCTAGGTCAGCCTTAGCCAACAGGAGTTTTAACAGTTTAACAAATAACACTTACCAGGCCAAGGGGTGAAGAGAAGAGCTGAAATTCAAGGCTGTGGCTTCACAGTACAAAATCCAGGAGCACCACTAGGTCAAAGCCCTTCTTCCACCCCCATCACTGCTGCATCTCCTCCCTGCCCCTCTGCTCTCAAGCCCTCTCTGTGGGGCAGCTGACCCTGTGTTTGTTTGCACACTGCCTCCCTTTGAGTGCTGAACAGAGCTGACTGTCCCCTGGATTCTCCTGATCCATGTCTGAGCCTGCTGCCACACACACAGATGTTGGCACATCCCAGGAGGAGGGTGCACCTCAGGCTGGCATTGCCACCGGCTGCACTGTAGTGTGAAATCACAACTGAGGTGCCAGAGAACCACACTGAACATGGAAATCTGACATGGAAATCACATGGGTCCTCCTCCCCTCCTCAGCCCCACTTTCACAGAATCATAGAATCACTAAGGTTGGAAAAGACCTCCAAGATCATCGAGTCCAAATGCTAAACCAGCACTGCCAGGTTCACCACTAACCCATGAAACCAAGTGTCATACCCACATGGCTTCTGAATGCTTCCAGGGATGGTGACTGCATCTCTGCCCTGGGCAGCCTGTTCCAGTGCCAGACCACAGTTTCAGTGAAGAATTTTTTCCTAATATCCAATCTAAACCCCTCCTGCTGCAGCTTGAAGCTGTTTCCTCTTGTCCTGTCACTTGTCCCCTGGGAGAAGAGCCCCCCGACCTGCCTACAACCTCCTGTCAGGAGGGGCCCAGAACTGAGGCCAGGATTTATGATGCCTCACCTGTGCCCAGCACAGGGGGACAATCACTACCCTGGTCCTGCTGGCCACACTATGGTTGGTGCAGGCCACGTGCCATTGGCCTTCTTGCCCACTGGGCTCATGTGCAGCTGCTGTTGATCAGCACCCCCAGGTCCTTTTCCAGCTGCTCCGCCCCAAGCCAGTACAGCTTTGATTGTACTGAAGCCCAGTGTGGGTCTGCTGCCTTGCCTGGGAGCCCTGGGGTTACAGGAGCGGGTGTCAGTGGTTTCTCTAAAGCGGTCACCTCTGCTGTGGCAGGCTGGGCTGGGCAGGGACCTGGCTCAGTAGTGCCATTTGTCACTTAGCCTCTTGCAGTGTGACCCTTCCCTAGGACTACTGCCCTCTTCCATTTGGACACAGGAGCACAAACTAGAGTGGAAAACCTCTTCAGTGCCAGCCCGAGCTGGCAGTCATTGTCCTAGTGTCCAGATGCCACTTAAAGCATTGCTGTGGCACTATGTCACCTGAAGTATGAGGCAGTGTTCAGGGCATGGAGGGAGGGACAGGCAGAGTCTGCCTGGGTTACTGTGCAGTACAGCACAGAAAAACAGCAGCTGCTGCAGAGGCTCAATGGCAGGACAGGAGGGGACAGAGGACCAGGCGGAGACTGAGGGAAAGAGAAACAGGGCTGCAGACTGCTGAGGTCAGGGGAGAAAGTGTGAAGGAGAACAGACAGAGCAGGGCAGAGGTGCCCAGGGAGAGGGAAACAGCCATACCCTGCTTGCTTTGCTGAGCTGCTCACAGGCTCTGTCAGTGCAGGTGATTTTACTTTTAACTAAATGTCTCTGCAGATGTCTGAATGGGAAAAAAAAGAGCTGAGATTGGTGGGGATGAAGGATAGGTCTTTCTCACCAGGAAATCAGAAAAAGATATTTTTGCTAAGTTTGCATTTACACAGAGCAGAAGACCTTGCAGGATCTGCTATGACTTCCTCAGGTAGGAAATAAAATCTGCTTAGAATATTGACACCTGGCATCTCTAATTAAAGTTTTACTATTCCTTTCATTCCATAGCAAGACGTAGTTAGGAGTTAATGAACCACTCCTGATTTCCTATCAGCCCCTCTCAGTAGTATCTCTATTCTCCTTCTCACCCCTTGGAGTCTCTTTTGGCTTTTACCAAATGGGTGTTTTCTCCATTTATCAAGGGGTTGGGATGTACAAGCAGGTGATTTTCAGCCCCTGGCCAAACTGCTCCCCTGGCTTTAAGAGAAGCAGACAAGCATAAATGGCTGAGGCACATTCAAAATAAAGGCAACTTTAACATGAAATGAACATTCTGCTCACCCATATGTGAAACTGTCCCAGGGCTCAGGGACATGGCAAACAGCATAGAGGAAGGACTTACAAAAGGTTGTAGCACCTGTGTACACTCAATTCCATCCTTCAACGGTGCCTAAGGCCAGTGGCAGTCATGTATTCAGCACGGCCTCGAGAAAGGCAGGGAGGGCAAGCCCTGGCATCACTGCGACCCTACACATGCCCCTAAGCCCACAGCTGGTGCCACGCCCCTATGCATGGGCTGCTCTCATTTGCCTGTTTTCTGGCCCCACTGCTGCTGCCTCGAGACTTTTCCATTTCCCCTCTTACTCCCCTTCTCCATTCACGTGTGCTGTGTTCTGCCATACTGAGATGCTCTTCATCTGCTATCAGCAACAGAGCATGGAACCTGCAGCACAGTCTGGGTGGATTGTTAAACTGTAGTTCATATACCACCAGAACTCTTTCCCATTAGTGTGCCAGAGGGTGAGGAGCAGGCAAATTGCAAGAGGAGAGCCAGGAAGCTGCTATGCAGGACCACAGAGAGAGGCAGCCACTGCATCCTGCAGAATGCACTGTTGCTGACAGGCCACCCCATCCAGCGCCCTGCCCGCAGTGCAGCCTCGACTGCCTCGCTCTACTGACCTGCCCTATGTTGAAAGTCAACGTGATGGCATAATAAAAATTGGAGTTGGCACTTCCTGCATAAATCCACAGATGCCACAGAACGGGGAACAGGAAGGAGCAGAAAATGAGCACACATGACAGGATGAAGATGTTCCGGAGAACTGCAAAAGAAAACCAAGCTGTCAAAATGATGTATTATTGATCAGCCATGTTCACACAAACAGCAGTGGTACTTAGAGTGTGTGCAAGGGGTGAGAGGCGCTTGCCAACACATACTTCTCTCCAGTAATCTTTCACAGTTTGCTTTAATAACTTCCTAGCTACCTTTTATAAGAAATCCACTATATTTCTCTTTAAAATAAATACTTCTGCCTTTGCTTCAGTATGAAATCCTCCCTTGTAGCTCTTTCCTTCTAGGTCCTGCTTCCAAACACTCTTCCTTGGATATTTTGGCTTTTTGGTGTCTACGGTGTCTACACTGCAGTAACCAGCAGAATGGAGAGAGGCCTTTCCAGCAGCATCACACTTCGGAGAGCAGAGCATGTCAATCCCCAGCCTCATCAAGCTGATGACAAAGATGAAAAATGAACCCGTGGGCCACAGGAAAAGAGAGATTTCCTTGGGACTTGGCAAGGAAATGAAAGCTCCATAAAAGGAGGAAACTCCTAAAGGCCAAATGTGTTGACAAGCACGACCTCGGGAGGTGCAAGTGCGGCCAGAATCCGTCAGTCTGCCCGAGTACGTCAGATGGACAAAAACCAAGCGCGACTTTGTCTAAAAGAGCTGGGAACTACTAGACCAGAAGAGATTTTGTTTTCTGTGAACTGCTTATGCCTATCCTTTGGCAGCAGTGTTGCAATCCATCCTGGCACTTGTGCTGCTGGTGCTTGGCTACAGCTCAGTCAATGCCCCTGAAGGAGACTGAAGATTCCCCATCACTCTGTAGCTGAAGGTCGCTGATGTTTTTAAGAGCATTGTCACATCCAAACATGTTCACACCTCTTTTAAACTTCTTGATCAGTAGGTCTGTTCACACTCTCTGGGGTGGAAGCATGTGACAGATGACTGCCTCTCTCACTGGATGCTTGGAATGTGTAACTGAAGTACACTGAGTGAGGACTTCTCAAAAGTACATCACCTGCTACAACTGCAACGTGTTCAGGGGCAGCCTGGGGCTTCCTGCCCTGTCTGATCACAGCTGCTTTGGCCGCAGCTCTCCTGAATCTGAAACCTACAGAGCAGAAGATCTCCAAAGTCTCCTGACTCCTGATTATATCTCCTACAACAGGCAGGTGAGCCCTCCATGAACACACTTGGCCTGGCTTGGAGAAGGCTGCAGTAAAAGCAGCCTGGCAGGGTCGGTCAAAGCAGTTGGTTTAAGCATGAAACACCGGGAGAAACACAGCATTTCCAAATCTCTCCAGGGCAGCAGGTTCTATAGACTGAGCCTGAAAATCCTCAGGAAGCTTTCTGGTGATTTCAAGAGTTAAAAAGGGTCTTTAAGCAGCATTTAAGAAAAACTGGACAACTGCTTGGAATAGTTCAGTTACTTTCACTCCAAGCAAAAAAGCAGACGCAAGGTGCAGCATTTTAAGGCTGGGGGACTCACCAACTGCAGGAGCACTGTTCAAATCACACAACCTTAAGTGAGAGTGAAACATGTGGATGATGGATGCACTTCAAATAAGCCATGTCCATTGTACAGGATTGTGAAAGGCTCTTATAAAAAAGTTAATCTTCAGAGCAACTTGGAGAGAGGGGGAAAATAAGGTACTCATAAGGTACCCCTTAGCAGAAGTAAGGAGTACTCCTTACTACCCTTAGAAGATAAGGTACTCCTTGACCAATTTCAACCCTAGTCCTAAAGACATGTTAGGGACTGTATCACCTGAAAAAAAAAAATCAAGCCTCCTTCCAGACATCCCAAGGAGGCCATGAGAGCCTGTGGGCAAGGGCCTGGTTTGGTTTAGTGGTGACAATTATTTTGCAGGCCCTTTCCCATTCCAGATAAGGAATAACCAAGCACAAAGGACTTACATCTGTAAAGGTGGCTCCAGACTGGAAGGAAGGCCATGTACAGTGCAACGTCTCCCACAGTGGGATAGGACTTGAAGATAGAAATGATGGCAATCTGGACAAACATGAAGAACACAGGGTGTTCCCTGGAAGGGAAAAGAAACGAAGGGTAAGAGGCTGTAGTAGGTCTCTGGAAACTGGAAATAAGTACGAGCAAGGGCACAGATGTGCTGTGGGAGCACACCTCCCATAGAAGAGACTGTGGTTCTTGCATCCCTGCTCTCTCCAGACAAGACTCCGAGTGCTGAGTGGGGCAGACGGAGCTGCTCTGCAGAGCAGCAGTGTCAGGGAGGACCACTGCCCACTGCCCTCACCCAGAAACCGTGGGCCTCACCCGACACACATTTATACTATCGGTCACCTGCGCTGCTTCTCCCCAGCTCTGTCTTATTCACCAAACGCAACCAGCACTTCCCCTCTGACGGTGATTTGCAGAATCCCAGAGTTATCTTGCCGGTACACCATCATGTCGTTCACTGAAAGTCCAGGTGTGTTAATGGCTGGTTTTAGCAGAAAGAAGGCTAACGTTGTCAGTGCAGTCAGCTAGGAGAGTCCCCAAATTTTCACTTTTTTCTGACAATAAAGAACTCAAGGTTCCAGTCAGGAGTTCTTGCTTTCTGACTACACTGGTTTATGCTGGCAAGGAGCAGGCACCTCTACAGCCTCTATTTCTGCTTTCTCTTTTGATGCTTGCAACATTTTGGCATTGCAGAGCCCAAGTCTATTTAAGAGGAACAGAAACTGAAACTATGGGAAACGAGAAGGGTAGACTGTGGGTTAAAAATCTTTTTCAGGTTCGTAGATAAGAGACATCTGATTCCAGCATTATAAGGTTCCACTAGACAACTTAAGAGTAATAAAAGCAGCAGAGAAATGCACTCATACTTACTTTAGCTTTATTGCCAAGGGAATGGTGTAGAAGAACACATTGATTTGAAACACACATACGAAGAAAAGACTGAAGTGTTCAAACATCTCTGCAAAGAAGTACCAGAAAAGGCCAATATTGGGTGTCAGATCTGGAACAGAAAGGCTGAAAAGAAAAGTCAAGGTAAATTTTTAAATGGTTGTTTTCCACTGCCCTGCTTCTGTTACATTAATTAATCAGTTTATGCTACTGGATGAAGGACATAAATTGTAAACCTATGGAAGAGAAAACAAAGGGGTGACAAAATGTGGAGAGCAGGTTTAAATCCTACTGGTGAATTCTTCCCAATGCCCCAGCAGGATTTAAAGCATCCCAAAACAGACATTTCTCCAGAGACGAAAATTTCACAGCCACGGTAGCTCAACAGTGAAACCCATTTCCAATCAACTCAGTGGAAAACACCTCCTGCCTTTAATTTTTGCTGTTAATTAACAGAAGTTGGCTGCTCTCCTTCATATATTCTTTCTTTTCTTGCACTGCCAGTAAATCACAGATCCCACACTTCTTGGGTCAGGCATGTGTGATGGACAAGAAACAACATTACCAGTAAGAATCCTTATACTCACATAAACCCGTAAACAGATGGGATAAAGTCCCAGGAGTTGAGGAGGAAGAAGGAGAGGCAGATAATCACTACAAGGCTGCACAGGTAGAGGGAGGCATACTGCATGGTGTAGAGCCAGAAGCTTTTGCTTTTCAGTTTGATGGGTATGAACTGACGCTGGAAGTGAAACAGAAGCATCTTGTCAGGTGGAGAGTCTCACAAGAAAGCCTGAGTGTTCAGCACATCATCTTAAACCGACGACAGAAAGCATCAAACACTGGCACTATGGCACTGGAAGGAGCAGCTCTCAAGCACAATTTGTTTGATGTTCTTCACTCTGGCCAATTAACTCATACACACTGCACATGTTTCCAGAACTGTGCTTGAAAATACAGCAGCAAAGCTGGTCATTTCTCCTTGCAGTCATGTCTCGTGCACCCTGTGTACAATTTACACACAGCTCCTCAGAGCTACACTTGTATCTGACATGTCTGCAATACTGCACTGCTGCCTGTCTTCTACTGCATGAGCCCACTCAACGGGCTGACTGAAAGCCCTGCTCCATGACCCACCATCCTGTGGTGCCAGGTCGCCACCACCCTGCTCTGCTAACATCAGGGAAAGAGGACATCCAGTAGGTTCCTATGCACCAAGGAGCCCCTCTGAAAGGTTGCTTCCTCAAAGACAACTGCTGCAGTCCTGCCACTGCCACCTGTCCTCATCACAAGTCAACCACAAGCCCTTGTCACATAACATGACATACGGGTACCTCATTCCAACAGGTCCCCTGAACACATTTGCACAGAAATACAGAGGGGCAAACACCTTTGGGAATCACTCAGAGTTCTGCAGCTCTGGGTAGTGATGTGGCTTTTCCACTGGGTACTGGGGTTTGCAATGGCAGGAGATGTGCAGAGAGCCTGTCCTAACTGCTGTGGGCTCTGCGCAAAGCACGCTCTGCTTTCTCAGTCACAGCATGTCTAACGTCACTTGCTGGAACAATGCAAGCAAGTTTACCAACAATTTTTGGCAGGACAGATTGGAAAGTGCTGGAGAAAAGTGATTTAGTTCTGCACAAAGAATGCAGGAAAGTTCATTTACAAATTTAGATAAAAGGTATAATTGCCTTTAAAAGTTGCAAATTAGGCAATCATATATCAAAGCACTTGTTACTTGTGAATGTGATGTATAATGTTTGTACTTTACTTTGAATAAAGTTAAAAGAGAACAAATGAGACCAAAATGTAAAATACACAAAGCAAATTCTCTTAAAAATTACCAAACTAAAAAAGCAACACTGACTCGGCAGAAGTTCCTGTCTTGCAAAGAGTAATAATAACAAAATTTCTGAAAAGAAGTAAGAGACATTCATGTCAGCTAGTCAGAGAAAGTAAATGAACTAGAACTGGCTCTCATTCTGTTTGGAAGCTCAGAGATTTAAGAATATGCTGTAATGAACCCGTAGTTAAGATTAGCTATAAAAATCATCATCAAAAGCAACCAAGAAAGACTGTTGAAGCACACAACAGCAGGATTTCAGAAGGGCAAAAATAATAAAAATGATCTCAAAGTGACTTGTGAAGTGGGCTGAGTCTCTGCTGGTGGTCACAGCCTCACCTGCTCCCACAGCAGAATAAAATTAGCAAGGTCGGCCCTGCTGGAATTCAGAGGTCCTGTTAATGGAAAGGGAGAAAGAACAACCAGTCCCTTTCACAAGCAAATGCCTTTTACCACTAAACCCCAAATCAGCATTTCTGAGTTTGAGTAATTCAAACACACAGTTCCTCACACTAACACAGTTCAGTAATCCATGTCAGTGCAAGGGAACTTCTCCAGCTCTAAAACCCTCATTGCTATTCACATGACACAAAGAACAGGACTTATTTTGGGCAAGTTCTGTAGGTGGCTTACTGCTCCCTTCTCTCCACTCACAGGCATTCCCATTAAGGTTTCCAACTTGCCATGGCTTGAGGATAGTCACTTTTTCTGAAACTCTGCATTTGCCTGACTCCCCTCTCAGTAGCCAAGGACTGTCCCTGAACAGCTACAAGAAGACAATGGGTACCAGCAGTTAGAAATCATCTACCTGCAGAAGGTAAAGAAGGGCTGGAGCAAACAGTGTGAGAGGGTAGAGTGACTGGTATGTTGCTAAGGCCAGGAACACAGCACTGAGGAAGGCACTACCTGCAAAGACAAAAAATGTTCATTTGTAAGGAACTTCTACTATAAACAGCCATACAGACAGGAAGTCCAAATGGGAAGAAATACATAACCCTCTACAGGGGATTCACAAATATAGGACACTACTTAAAGGAGTTTTTAGCAGAATGTATCCTGGAGGGTGTCCTCTTGTTAACTACATTTTGAATGGAGAATGACTGATTCCATATGAAGGAACCACTGACTGGTTTGTATCACCTGGCATTCACATACAGAAAGAGATTAACGTAACTCAGTCTATATAGAGACCATGTTGGCTGCTGTTAATGTCATCTCTGCATGTAAGAGCTGTTACACTGGGCATGCTGGATAACCCCAACACCAGAATGTGTCAGGGCCTCAGCAAAGCTCTGAGCCAGAGAGCAAGTGAAAGTCTGCAGCTGAAGGAATGAAGTGACATTAGCCAAAACTGAGGCACAGAAAGGATTAGCACAGCTTTTCCAAGTGGTCTCAAAAATATGAATGCCTTTATTGAAGCAGCTTTATTTGAGGTGTCTCAGACTGAGCTCAGTGCTGAGTACTTACATTTCCCACCTGCCAACATCAGAAATCAAGTCCAAAAGGTCTCAGGTTAAACAACAAAAATACAAGCCCGGTTATAGCTATAGACTAAATGGAAGGCCTCTGTAATAAGGCAGCTTAGACAGCAAGAACCCTGACTCAGTGCACTGGCCCAGCTGCCAGCCTGACATCACACACTTGAAGAGCTTCTCTCTTTCACCTTTGAAAGAGAAAACAGAGGGTTATCTGGTGATGAGCCTTCTCCACTCTGCAACTACACTCTCCTGACAGAAACCTCCCCATCCTCTACTTTATTGAGTGTTCAATTCTGCACAGATCTGTAGAATTGATTCCCAGAAATCAGTCATAACCTGATATTCTCTTTGTCCACTTTAAAGCCCAGGTGGCCACATTTGCAGTCAGGGAGAAACCACAAGAGACAGTTACTACAGTTTTGCCTATGACCAAAGTATTGGTCTTAGGGTATCAGTGAACAGTTAAAAAATCAGTTTAACTAAACAGACCCCACTTGTTTGCTATTGTAAATACTTTTAAAATGGAAGTCCCTCCTGACTCAACTACCCAATAATTACAGGAAAACTTCCTTTTGGAAACACTAATAAAAACCATCTATATCAGCTTTTTTTTCTCAGTGGCTGGGTCTGGGCCCTGCTGGAGATGAGATCAGAGTGACCTTTCCTCTGATCCAGCAGAGAACTCCCAAAATTAGGTGACTAGTACAAATCACATATGCTAAAAGATTTTATCACTGGAGAGTCATAAAAGAAACAGAAAGCTGGCATTATGCACGAGATGAATGAAACAGTTATTCTGATATAATCTATTCAGCTGTGCTGGTATGGGCCTTTGGTTACTCTTCTGTTTCCCCAAAGCTCAATTAGTTCATTTCAAACCATATTTACAACTGTGAGTGAAAGCCAAATAACAGTCTCTTAATCTCAGGATTCAGGTGGAACTTTGCTCCAGTCCTGTTTCTGCTGTGTTTTACTGAGATCCTTGTAGCAATCTCATCTGTAAAGTTCCATCTGGATTTCATTTTTGCTACATTTATAATCTTCCTAGAAAGTCATAAAGAACCCTCTTTTATTCATTGTGTTACCTTTTATTGTAGCTAAAATGAAGAATGCAATGACAGAGTTGTTGATGGCGCAGGTGGACTTTGCCACACAAGACATCACAGAGAAGGGGTTTAACAGGTAGCTGAAAAAGAGCAAAACTCACGTTACATGCAAAGGAGACAGCATCTAATTAAAGAGATGTTCAAAGAAAAAACAGATGCATTTTATTTACAGTTGATGGGATCCTCTCATCAGCAAATTAACTCAGCTGAACAGGTTCCTCGATCTGGAGGAAAAAACAGACCTTTGGATTGCAGCCCTGGACACAGTGGCCACAGGGAGCCTACTGCAGAAAGGAGAGTTGGGAAGATCTCCAAAATGCAAGTTCCAGCCTAGAAAACAACTACCAAAAGTGTTTTTTGCTTTCCAGAAACACTGTACATTTATTCATCCAGATCTAGGATTACTGGGTCCAAAGCAAACTTTTCATGCTACTCACATCTACTCTGCAGAAGTATAAGAAGGTAAGACGGAAACAAATTCTGAGACACGAGCAGAGTTTCCCCCAACCCAAGCGCACCAGTCTCCTGCTGTGGCAGAGCAATCATTTATATTCACTGTGGCCTGATGTGAGCACAAAACCCACCAGCTGTGCAAGTTTAGCACATTTCAACTGGAATTATAGAAAGACAGCAAACTCTGAACACCTTTACCCTCCAGAATGCAGCCACAGTTCAGTTGGCAAGGATGCCAGCTCCCTTTGGAAATGAGAATTACAATAATTTCATTTAACTAGGTTCAGAGCACAGAAAAAGGTTTGGAAGGACTACCAATACAATAAGCTAATACAATAACCCTAATGTACCCATCAGCTTTGCTAATAACTAAATTAAACATCAGAGTGAGTAGACAGGGCTGATGATTTCCTAATTATCTCTTTCTATTTTCCTACTTCTCTGAGCTTCAGTCTGTCTTTTTCAGTGTTTTTACAGGGCCAGCCTACAGCAGGACAGGTACAATTTAATGCCAGCTTTGCGGTAGTAATGAGCAAAACAGACTGCAATTTACCCACTCTACCCTTCTTGCCATGTGGAATTTGACATTTAAAAAATTCATAAGGAAATGAGAAAAAATAAAAACTTATCTAATGGAGAACTCTCTCTGACACAGAATAATTCAGATAATTTCTCTGTGTCAAAATACCAATAAAAAAAATTCTTTAACAGTAGGTATCTTGCTTGTATATGATTTATTTTAGTTGAAGTCTTCTGAAATAAAAAAATGTTTAGTATACAGAGGAACACCAAGACGTGAAATTAATAAGATGACAACCTGAAAATATCTTTGAACTGTAATAAGGAATTTGGGATATTCAGGTTGTGATATTCAGCATGCATTTTGTCCAACTGCTCAAAAATTCTCCTAATTTTTCTGAAAAGACACCATTTGGAAGGCACAGAATCAATTTTGATAACATTAGTACACAGGCAAAATAAGTGGGGATGTGATCTGTGCGGACACAACATTCTTGCTACCAAATTAATGACCTTATGCTGCTCAGCCTTGGAGGGCCTGAGTAAATTTACTTGCTGGCAACAAACGTGCTAATGCATCTGCTTTTTACTTTCTAGCTGAGTATTCAGGGCCAATAGGAAATTCAGAATTTCTGGGAAAAAAAAACCAACCTTCAACTAATGTTGAAGCCCCAAATGAGAAAAATAAAACCCAAAGGGAGCTGAGGAACCAAAGCAGCCCACTGCAGCCTACAAGAGCAATACTTACAATAGTGCTACCTTGAGGGGGATGTAGTGCATCTCCATGGGTGTCTGGACAAGCTCAGCCACATCTGGTGCATATTTATCCAGCTCTATTAGGAGCTTCTGCTTTTTGAACTGAACAAGGGAGAATGATCAAAGACTGTCAGGAGAGGAAAACCACGGTTTCATATTACTTGTGTAATTCTATCTCATATTACTCAGCCAATTACATGGGGTTTCTATTACTGTAGAGCATATCTGAGCCCCAGCTGTGAGCCAAAACTCTGGTTATGTGAGGAGTTGTACAAACAGAGCAAAACACCCTCTCCTTTCCCAAATACTTAGCAACTGAAATGAGACTCAAGAGAAAGCAGATAATGTCTACTTATTTGAACTTCCTTAATTACCTGTGTCAGCTGACAATGAATTCACCACATCAGAGTTGAACACTCTCAATCTCCCTAATGCCAGTCTGGATCTCTAATGAAAAACTGACTTTTTAAATTCGTAGTTCAACACACAAGCCACTGAAAACCCAAGATTCAGAAGTATGCAGTCTTTATTATTTTGAAGATGGATATCTCTAGACTAAATCTCTTTCATTTATCTTGTTCTCTGAGGCTCTCCACGGAGCCAAAAGAGAAATCTGAAATATGAACCTACGGAACTATGTCATGGTGAGACAGAAAGACAGAGATGCTGGCAATAAATTCTCAACAAGCAAAGTAACTCACATGTGAGATTTTTACATGTCTGCAGTTCTATTGTGAGTTATTTCTTCAACCTCAAAGTCAGAGGACAAGGAACAAGCACATAGCTGGATGGGAGACCACACAGATGCTGTAGAAAATGTAGCCTCCCTGTTGATGCTGATAGTGAATCTCTGCCCCTCTGGAATTGCAGAGAGCACAGCATTGCTTACACAAAATGTTCTTTGAGCTACATATGAGAGAGAGCTGGGAGTAATCACTCCCCTCCAAATACACGTACTTGTAATTTGAAGGGAACGAGTAATACTTGATGTTAGACTCTCACCATGCTCATTAGAATGATCCCTGGACGCAGCCTTGGACGTTTTTATTTCTTCCTTTACACATTTCTAGTCTGTGTATTACCTCATGCTCTGTGCAAAGAGACCCTCTCCAAGGTAAAACATTCAGGCTGTAGAAGATTGTACACTACTGTGATCATCATTCACATGCAGTGTGATTCCATACTGTAATAGTGCCACAACAAAACTTAAAATACCTCAGTTGTTTACCACATTGAGTCCTCACGTTTGTTTATCATTAAAATATGACCAGATTTACTGCAACGAGGAATTGATACTGCATCCTCTGGCATGTGTTTTCTTTGGTGCAAGATATTTGCTGGGAGAAGAGGACCAGCAACACTGGGAAGTCAGCTTACCACAACTTTGTTGAAGTCCTGGATGGCCAAGTAAAGGGCAACAGCAGTTAGCACATCAGTTACCTAAAAAAGCAAGGGATAGACAGACTGATTGTAAGCAAAATAAACAAATAGAGAAAACAGTATTGGTCAGCAGTGAATAAGGAGGCTAATCTGACTCAGCTCCTGGGAAGAAAACACAAGCTTTAAAAACACTGGATTGCTGATTTGTACAGTGCCCTCACACACCACAGGTTCACCTTGCAGGCATGAACTGTAACAAATATTTACAAAACAAGAGAATGGGAAATTAAGAGGAAAGAAATTGAAGCAAGTGAGGGTAATAGAGAGAATCACTGGTCTAGTTAGAGCACAGGCAGTGCCCAGCTGGTTAAACCCCTCTGGCCATTAATCCAGCAGCGCCTTGAACTGTCCTAAACTTCCGAGGCAGCAGCACAGTCATCTGAACAACCAGCACTAGCCCAGGGCAGAAGGCTGTTATCTCTGCACAAGCCCTGCCTGGCAGGGACCTGGGGACAGAGGCTCCACTGGGTGCCATGTGCAGCCAGCTATAGGATTTCTGTCCTGAATTATGCAGAACTAAGAGAAAAATTTACAAGAGACATTTGGAGGATGAACCCATTTGTGCTCTTTGCAGGCCTGGGATTTGGCAGTGGGTTTAGTGAGAAGCAGCAGTGTAAGGATTAGGCTGGGGGGACAAAGTATTTTGTTACCTGTAAGAGGCAACCTTTGAAATCTGAAATGACACCTTCCTATCCCTCTGTGGGGATACTTACCTAAGCAAGAACTCACAAAAAAGAAGGAATATGTACAAGAAGTGAAAAGCCTGAATAGTGGGTTTGTACAGGCAAAGCTGCCTTTCTAATTAAATGTGAGCTCAGCAGGAATATGAGCTACAGAGAGGCTGAAGGTCCCCGATTCCTGCAGGACTGAAATCACCCTCAGCATTTCCCTGAAAGGGGCCTTTCAAGAGGAGCTTTCCAGGAGCACTTACCATGAACACCAGTTCAGCATATTCAATCAGGAAATGAAAGAGATAGATTATCAGAGGGGTCTAAAAGAGAACAGAAGGGAAATCCATGTCAAATACTGTCCAGATAAAATACACCATTAATTTGATGAGAAAAACTTTGTACTGCAAGACACTGCCAAAAGTAATTTTCTTTGGCCTCTTCTCCAACATTGGTACTTCAGAGCTAAGTGACTAATCAAAGCACATTTACTGGCCTTATTCCTTGCAGAGTCTTCAATACACTTTATTAAAGACACCATCAACTTTGAAAATTGTACTCTATTCCAACTTTTCAATTCTGCTACTAGTGATAGACTTACAATAGAAAGCATACAAAAAACAGCTTTAGAAAGTGGCTTTTTTCCTATAGAATCTATTTTTTTTTTAGGATGTCTGCAGGTACTTTTGAAAGATTTCCTACATAGCTGGTTTCACAGCTGTTGAGCCTGTTGTTTAGATGAGTGTTTTATAATGCAAAAATAAGAAAGATGTTGAAAACATAAAGCAGTAGGATTACAGTCCTATCATCCTCTTGCTCCCACAGCTTTTCCCTTCTAGGGTAAGAGGAAAAGCGTGTTTCTGAATTATTCCTATTGCACAAAAGCTTAATCTGGAAGTACTGTATTTACATGCTGTAAATTCAGTCTTCACTGTGAGAAAATAGATTTCTTTTAAAATACTTTATAAATTATGTCTAAATAAGCATGGGAAAGTATTTCACAGTCTGGGAGAAAACTGTATCTAGAGAAGGAGAATTTATTGAAAAGAAACCAGTTTTCAGAGGGATACAAAGTACCTGCCTCACCCTAGGTGACACTATGTGTGAGTGTACCTTCATATCAATAAGATCACCTGAGCGCACAAAGCCCCACGGGTGCTTAAGTTAAAATGCCTCATTCCTAATGAGGAATGAGGCACTTTCAAGATGAGGAATAAATAAACTGCATGCTTGTGCTAGTCTTAATATTTCTGCAAATGCAGAAACTCCAGCTACTGTTACCCAGTACTCAGTATCAGACTCCCAGTGACACTGTCTCCCTGCTCCAGCTTCTGCCGACAGAAACATCTGGATGTAAACAGAATATTTCACTTATTACAGAGCTCTCCTGCCTCAGACTTTCTATATGCAGTAACAAATATTGTGATATCTATCACCTGCAGTCTGTGATTAACTGTATTTCCTCATGCTGGTCATTACAACTACTGCACAACAACTACATGAGCTGAGGTTCTCTAAAGCCTCTGGGACAAGACAGGCTGCAAGCTGCAATACTAAGACACGTGACACTTGAACATCACATTTAAAACAAAGCATGCAAACCAACCTCATGAAAAATAGCTCCAGAATACGGCGAGACCCCTAAATCCAGCAGAGCCAATCCTTCGACCACTGAAACACAGACAAAACACCCGCATTAGAACCCTGTAATGTGGGAAGGGACAGATCTCATGATGGTAAAACCTTAGCTTTTAAAACACCCACACTTGTAAGAATCTCACATTGAATGGATGACACTAAACCTCACAGAGCCAACAGCTAACTAGAACTGATTCTCTCCCATGCACATTCCTGCATGGGCACTCATAACCTATTTATTTGTTTCAGCTAAAAATGTTGTAGGTGAAATCTTTTACACTGAACTCTATATAAATCCCATGTATGATACTGCCTGATTTTAAGTCACATATTTGGTGACACATGGCATCTATGATGGAAATATACTTAATTCTAAGAAAACAAACCACAACATAATATAGAATTTGAACTGTTCTGCCTAATTAGATGTAGAGAGGCCTAAAATGTCCAAAATTACAATGGAAGAACAGAAGTGAACACATATCATCACGCAATGCTGAAAGGTTTATCTGTTGTTGAAAACTCCTTGTTGAAAATACAGTTTACAGCCTTAATTTGGCTTCTTCAAGATCGTGGAATTACAGCTTGCCCTGCAATGCATTTGCATGCTTTTCCATAGGATCTTCACCTTCCTGAGCACAAAGGTTTCCTGGGGCTGAGCAGTGTATGCAGTGAAAGGAGCCAAAGGAAATGGGTTCATTTGCTCAGAGGGAAAAGGCAGGAGACTGCAGGAAGCAATAAAAGGCCTCAGTTCAGTGAAACGCTGGACAAGTAGATCCTGGCTGCCACAAACTCCCCGTGTGGTGATAGCCCAAACTTTGAAATGACCCTAAGTGTTCTCCTTACTACCTAGATGGTCTAAGGCAAGATTAAAAAAATTGATTGTGTGATGTGCTTCATACAGAGGAGCAGAGGCCTCAGGTCATCAAATGTATTTCTACTTTTGACCTTTATTACTCTGGGCCACTCTTTTCCACCCCAGAACTGCAAATACTTTTACCTGTATAAATAGCTGGGTATTATTTTCTCAAAGGGCTGTCTTTTAAATGAATTTAGGTTCCCAATGGGCTCAGATGCTACAGACACGAATGTCGCTGAAGAGCCCCAATTGCACTGTACCTCAGCCTTCAGAAGAGAATTTGAATTGTGTTGGTAACAACGTGCGGGGCCACAAACTGAACCCGGAAAACGACAGTAGCCCTGCGCGAACCGGGAGCCGTGCAGTGGCATTCACACCGCGAGGCAATGTTTGTGCAGACACAGCCCAACCACACGGGCTCGGCCGAGGCTGCTGGAACCACACGCTCAGTGCCGGGTTCATCTCGCCTCCCTTTGTGTACACGCGTGACACAACCGCTGTGTCCACGTGTGCCCAGCGCAGCCCCGGCCGCCGCAGGGCCCCGCGGCCCCTCCCGCCCCTCCGCCACCGGCTATTCCCGGGCACGAGTGCCCGGGGCCATTCCCTTGCAGCTCCGGTTCGGGCCCCGGACGCGCGGGGCCCGGCCCTGCCCGGGGCCACAAGCCCGGCGCTGTCCCCGCGGAGCCGCTCCCAGGCGCGGCGCCCGGGCCGGGGCCAGGCCCCTGGGCCCTTCCCGGCGCGGTCTGGCCGCCCGGGGCCCTCCGCGGGGGGTCCGCCGGGGTCAGCTCGCTTTCAGGGCGTTTAGCGGGGGAACCGCCACCTCGACGGCGCTCGGCCGATGAAGGCGGCGAGGCTGGAAGCGGAAAGAGGCCGCGGCGCGGACCGTCACGGGCCGCCAGCAACCACCAGCACCAAGGGGCCCATCCCTGCCACGCGCCCCGCCGCTCCCGCCGCCTCCCCGCCGCCTGTATCCCGGGCGAGTGCCGCGGGAACGCGCCGCCAATGCCACCGCCCGCCCGGTAGGACTTACATGTCCCGGCAGGCCCTCGCCGCCGCCCAATTCTTCCCGCACCATTCGGGGGGGCTTACGGCGGCATTGCAGGGGGATCAACTTAGCCGGAGCGCGAAAGGCCCGCGTTCAGCGGGCAGGGCTGTGGGCGGGGGTTCTCGCTTTTCCCCGCCAGCCTTCCAGCGCTGCGCACGGGAACGGCCGCTCCTCGGGCCGCAGGCACAGTTCGTGGTGTTCTGTCCTCGAGTGCAATTCAGGCTCTCCCGGGCACGTTCCTCCCGCCCGTGGCGTCCGAGGTGCTCTGCGTGCGGCCGCTTTGCCCCCCGTGAGCCCCTCGCTCGTGTTGCTCCCCAGCCTGCCCAGCTGGGCGGGGGCTGCGGACTGGGCCGGGCTCGGACGGGGAGGTTCGGTGGCTTCTGAGCTGTGTGAAAAGCCCCCCGTACTGTTCTTCATTTCCCCGGGTGTTTCACAGGGTCGTGGCCTGTGCCCGCCGTAGCTGCCCCGCTCCTCGGCCGTGTTGGCCCCGGGTGGTTGTGAGGCCGCGGGTGCTGCGCCGTGCGGGGTTTCAGCGGGCTCTTGGCACACCGAGACTCTGTCCTGTGGTTTCAACAGCTCCAGAGCTCTGCGCAGACTTTCACACACTACCTTCTCAGCTGTGCTTTCCTGCTGTTTTCCAACAACTGTTCTCCCCTCCTCATCCCTGGGTATGTACAACCCGTTCACACAAACTTGCACAGAATAGCCTTCACAACTCTTCATCTGGGTGGAGACAAATGGAAGGAAGATGTGATAGTCTCTTAAAAAACTGAGGGCCAGAATGAAAACACATTTCATATGGTATGTGAAGATACCAATTTTTCATGTATTTAAAAATAGGATTTGCTGAGTGTACTGGAGTTGCCATTGAAAAGAGCTTGATAATGTCCAAGTCACAACATTTGCATTGGATTTATGCAGCTTCAGAGCTGTAGTGTAGAGTTGTACTCACCTGCGGAAATGGAGAAAGGCTGAATGCCTCTGTGATATGGTCCCTAAAGGTCTGGGTGACCCAGCATATAGGGACTGGAGAGACTGGTGGGTTTAGGTGGTAAGTCACACGCACTTTCTGGACTAAGATCATGGCTGCTTAGAACGGCATGAATCCCTTCATGATACAAAACCAGCTTCAGATGGTCCAAGCAGTGTCTCCTACTGTGCTCACTCCCTTGCTGGGGTTCAGCTGTTGCCTTTGCAGGGCTTTCCTCTAGTGAGGTCCCATCCACTGCCACAGGACAACAGCTCTGGTCCTGAAACCATAAGGGGAACTTCAGTGTTCAGTCTGTCATGGGGCAACTCCTTTGCTCCTAGGCTGCTGCACAAAGGCATGGGTTGTGCTGGTAAAACTGATTTCCTGTGGGCACGCCACTGGCTGGCCCTGGGACCTGATGGCTGCAGGGCTGACCAGGCTTGGAACATCCTTTCATAAATCAGGGTGTATTCATTCAAGTTAATTTATCTGTGCAGGCACCTCTAAATAGAAAGCCAGAAATGCTGATTCTTTTTCTTTGCAGCTGTTAACAGTGTTCTCTTGAGTTTTCTGATCAGAAATGCTTTTTTTTCCCAACGCTGATTGCTCTCCTAGTGACAGTTCTTATCCAAAGGAATTGACAGCTGTTGCCTGCTTTGTTGAATAATTGACATACAGTTCTGTGGCAAAAGCTGCACTGCTCTGAGATGCTGATTTTGCCAGTCTGGGCTATGCCGTGTGCTTTCCAGCACCATCTGATGCAGCCCTGGGAAGATTGAGATAATCTCCAACAGCAGCAGGAATCGGATGTGAAATCGTGCCACTACAGTTGTTCTGTGTTTAATTGAAGTGCAAAGCCAGCTAAAGAGAAAGGTCAAAGAATAATTCATGACAAATGCAAATATTCTTTCTGGAGCATAGGTTTACTCCGGTGTTTTTCCAGGAGAAGATCCTAGGGCTGGCAGTGGAGAGAAGTTCCTCACATATTCAACCCCCTCAAAGCATCAAATGTGTAAGGCAAATATGAGAGGGTTCAGTGCCAGTGTCTGCTTATCTGTCTACAGACTGACACTGGTTTGGGGGGTCAGAGCTGGCCTTTAAGAATTTGCAGTAAGCACACACACACACTGTGGTGCTGCCTTTTGTCTGGCAGGAACTTCTGGAGCCACTTTCAGCCAAATGAAACACAGAAGCAGATCTTTAAAATCCTCAGAGTTCCTACAAGCTTTGTGAAAATCAGGGAAAGGTTAAAGAGACCTAAACTAGGGTGGGTTTTGAACAGGCAGTAGTTTGAGATCTGGCAGCGTGTGCTGTGCAGTGCTGGGTACTCCAAGTCAGGCAGCACAGTCGGCTGCTTTCTGAGCAGCAGTGAAGGGGCAGGGAGGGACGATAACAGAACAGAGAAGAGGTCTCGGAGCTATCAGAGAATGATACCGAGCTGAACAGGGACTCCCATCAGCAAGCTGGAAGGATACAAACCAGAAAACTCTGAGGAAACTTTGGCTTGCTTGGTTCATGCAATATTTTACTTTTTTTTCTCAGAGGCATAAATCTGATCTCCTGTGTCCTGGTGTTTACCCTAAACCGATGGTAGTTTTTGCAGCACTTGGGGGTTTTACCTGCTGTCCTTTCTTCCTGAAATTCCTTGGCTCTGCAAGTGATCCGGTAGGACCATGCACAGAGGGCTTGATGTACTGAGGCTTGGGAGCAGTTTAACCAGCTGCATTTTGAGTACCTCCTGCTGTGGTACCACCAGCAGTACAACAGAGGGGTGCTGAAGTGGTTCTTGGTCCACACAGGGAGCAGCAAATGCAGCTCTGACAGGACCTTCGCACTGCCTGCCTTGCAGCCTCCAGCTTTTATTGCCTAACAAAAAAGTACAGATCTAGTGGAGCCAGAAAGGCGGTTGGGAGCTGCTGCTGGAAGCTCCTGCACTTCATTGATTGCGTTGCCTCTGTGGGGCACCCACGCTGATCATTTAGGTGATGAATACAACCTGGGAATGTTGCATCACAGAATTTCATGAAACACTCTGTTTAAGGCTGAGCCAATTCAGGGATGATTCATCTTTGTTCCTGCAAACAGATGCTGGTTTGGGCACTTTTTATGTGCCCTGCTGGAATTATGCAATAGTGATATTTTTTGGGGTAAACAAGCCACTCCCTTGCTGGCTTCACTGTACAAAATAGTTGTTCTGATTCCTGAGGCACCCTACAGTCCTTCCTTGCAGCTCTTCCAATCTAATGCAGTCCTTTCACATATGGGAGACCACAACTGTGTGTATTATTCTGAGATCTCATCAGGGCCCCATGCAATGGCTTACATAGCTCAGAGATGCTTCCTATTCCTGTGGGATCTATCCCACCTCATCCCCATGTCCCAGAGGGATAATTTTATAATTTTCACCCACCATTTATTTTGACCAAGCTGTCATGATTTGTTTCCTTACAGACAACCTCTTCAGTGCTACACTGTGTTCTCCTCTTCTACAGACCTTGCACAGCAGTATTTGCAATGTAGTTATTACAAGTCCTCACTGGTTTTGGTTTTCCTGTGAAGTCCACATTTACATAATCTATCTCACATCCTGGGGTCCTTTATTTATAAATACTAGAGTTGCTTTTTCCTCTTCTTTTCCAAGTCGTCTTCTGTTGGAGTTTATTGGCTAGAACACCCGCCAGCTTTTGGTTTTGCCAATGAAAAAATTCATATGACTTTAATTTGTATGGGCTACATGAGTTCTCATTACTTCTTTTCTTCGGCATTCACGGGTAAAAGCTGCTGTTAAATTGAAGGGTATTGCTGTTTTTATAAATCACTGGGAGGAAGGCGCTTGCCTTTTATTTACTAACTTGGAAAACAAAAGATTTTCCTAGCAGTGCTGTAGGTATCTTTCTGCTGCTGACTGACGGAAGACAGCATGAGGTTTGTGGTCTTCTATGGAGGTTAGCAGTGGTCTGGATCAAAAATGGAGCCTTAGTGATCAGCTTTTCTTCTTTAACTTCAGAGAGAGGAGAGAATAAACTGCACTTCAGATTTCTCTGCGTGGCTTCATGTGCCAGGAACTTCCTTTACATGAAAGACAAATTTCTTTGTAAGAAAGGCAAACAGCTTTTCTCAGCCCTTAGAAAGATTGTATTTCTGCTTTGAACATTTTCCAGAGTGAGTTTTAAATGGCAATGTTAAAAAAAATAGCCAAAGAGGAAAACTTTAATTTCTGCCACCTAACTTAGCTAACTAATCATCTAGTGGAAGCTCATCATCTACACGAGGGAGAGATGGGCTTGTCCAGAGAGCTAAAAACTGACTTCAGACATCCCTCCTAGGTGGGGAAGGGATGAACTGATGACATGAGCTGAACACCAAAGCTCTAGACAGCTGAAGTCAGGCAAGAGGAATCAAAAAGTTCTGACAAACAGCACTGATCAGCTTTTGGGCATTGTCTAA